ACTCGCAAAAAGTCGGAGGCTCGATTTTCACGATAGAGCTATAGTTCCTTGGGCAAAGTTTCTTAAAACGACCCGTAGAACACCGCTAGGATAGGTAAAACATCGAAAAAAAATTTGACCCGCCCTAATATATATATATGTATACATATATATATATATAGAGAGAGAGAGAGAGAGAGAGAGAGAAAGTGATACGTGAATAAAAAAACAGTATAGTTTTGATAGTGGTATACAGGATATTTGTTGTTTACAAGGATGTGGCTCTTTCTGCATTAGCACTATGATATAATTGTATGTGTTGATTATTACGTTCATTTGTAAGTGAAAGTAAGGCTAATTTTTTTTCTTCATCCATTAAATTTTCGTTTTGAAACTCAGAAACATGTAGATACGGATCAATTTGATGTGGAATAGGTTTTATTTCCTTTCGTAGTTCTCGTTCGGTTTGGTGTAAGGTAAAAGTAAAAAGCAAAATAAAGGAGTCGTTTTAGAAGAAACATTTGAATATTTTTAAATATCAGACAGAATTTACAAATAGTATGTCTGTTGATCGGATAAAGATTGTCTTTGTATGTGTGTACTATCGTTCGACATACAGGACATGTTTTCATTATGAGACGTGTGAAAGTAAAAGAATTTATCTACACATCTAGTTGAACAGATCAATATTATCTATTTTTAATAGTTTATAATCGAAAAAACTGACGACAACTGTTAGTTTATATAAAAAGTTAAGCCATATTCAAGAAATTGAATGCAGAGATAAAACACTTAAACAAAAACAGAATCAATTTTTTAACCCCTCCTCCGTATTAGAAGCCCCCTCTGGAGGAATCGATGTGGAAGGTGTATTAGAAGCCCAAGGGCTTCTATTACACCGGAAAAATAATTTGAATTTTTTAAACGACACATTTGATCGACACGCGTTTTTTTTACTTTAATTGTTCTTGTGTGATGTCGAGTGTAAAAGAAGGAAACGAATAAAATTTACATTTTTTATCTCGAAAAAGATTTTTTTCAGATTATTGAGATTACCGTGATTAGAAAGTCAAGAGCATCGAAATTCAAAATCTCCTTTTTTTCTGAAAATTTTTGTACGAAAGTCGTACTAGTAGCCTCCCCATAATACAAGGCCCCATCAAAATTTTGAACGCTTGGACAGTTTAGAAGCCCCGGAGGCTTCTATTATAGGGGGGAGCGGTTACTTCAATATTTATCGAATTCAGTCGTCACTATGGCCAAAAAAGATGGATAAACAATAAATTTTTCTCCTATTTCGATCTGTCTTATTGTTTCGAAGTCATGGATCATGCTGCACCACAGAGATGTGAACATCATGCATGCAGAAGAAAAAAGATAATTTTGACGTTCAATTTCGTATAATACAGAAAATTGTTCATTATTCACTGTATTCATTTCGTCCGACACTCAAATAATAAAAAAGAAAGAAAACACTTCAAACGGTAGTTTCAAAACCGGATCATGGTTTTTTTGTATATCAAGTGTTATTACACATAATTATATGTTTATATCGACAAAGTAACTAATATCAAATGAATAATAGAGCTATGATTAGTACACTCGAGTAATCGTTAGTGAATCACATATTAGTCTTAATGGATCAATTTACAGATTTAAATATGGTTAAAGCGCGTCGTTCAAACAGTTTTTACATTTTATTATCGATTTTCATCCTTGGCATTTTCTTCATATTTCAACGTTGAATTCGAATCAACTGAATAGATTCACCCTTAAGATTTAGATTTTACTCTTACGTTTTCGTAATTTGTTGAGAGGAATAATTCGGTGAATTTGTAATTCGAGGGAATCTTAGAGGATTCTTAAAGAGTACAGTATAATCTAACGGGTTTTTCCTATTCTAGAGTCAAGAAATTACGGGAAATTTCTAGTATGTGAAATTGTGAACAAATTATAAACTAAATCGGTTAATAAGAATTTTCACTAACTATTAACCAAATTCGATCTAAATCTGTTTTATTTGATTCTCATATCCACTTTCGTCAAAGTTTTTGAAAGATTCATTTCACTTTGTTTGTATACGGAATGTGTGAACAATTATTTCAATATATAAGTTACCAGCTGAAAGACAAGTGCTGTTGTATTCAGCCACATTTCCTGATTCAATTGATCAATTTGTTGTAAGTAGAAAGAAATATCCATATAAATGATTCTATTCTTGCCTATATTTTTAGCAACATTATATGAGAAATCCGTACGAAATAACTTTGATGAATGAATTAACATTACAAGGAATTTACACAATATTATGCATTTGTCCTAGAAAAGACAATGTACTTTTTGCTTTTCTTGGACAAATGCATATTATTGTGGACCTGTGTCTGGTACTTAAAAAGTTCCGAAGAAAATTTTTGTACTATTCAACTTACCGATCTTCATATGTAACGAAGTTAATAGCAATACCAAAATGACCAAATCGACCTGATCGACCAATACGATTTCTAAAAAGATAAAAGAAAATGCATTAATAATTCATTCAGTGCCTAAACGAAACTTCTAGCTTACAGATATGTTTCAGCCATATGCGAAAAATCAAAATTAATAACAACATTCACTGGATCAACATCAATGCCACGAGTTATTAAGTCTAAAGTAAAACCATACATTTTTAATTTAGAAATCTAAACATCACACGTACGTATGTGTACCGAAAAAGATGTATTCTTTTAATTAAAAAATCTGAAATATTAGTTATATGCTAATCAAAACCACACTCAAAACATAACAAATCGTATTTTTGAGTTTAACAACTAATGTTAAGATAGAAAGATTTTTTAATTTCTCTTCAGAAGACAATTCAAGTTGTATTCATCTGTTTGATAACAACTGAGGGTTGTTTAAATCTTCCTTACTAATAAAAATATCAACGAAACAAATTTGCTTACCCAAACACACAAGGTTTCTAACTTTTTGATTTTATCTAAAATCATGGAATACTTGATTTCTTGCTTCTTGCCTCATTTTTGCATGTATATAATAACTTGAATAACCTAACTCAGTTACTTTTTTCGCTAATAATTCCACACGTTGAGTCGAATTACAAAATATAACTGACTGATTAATTTGTAACTAAAACCAAAGTATCAAAATCAAAATAAAGTTGAAAAAACAAAAGTACTACTTACCTTTGAAAATAATGTTGCAATTACACTCAAAATTAATTGTCTCAATACATTATTTTCAAAAGTGCCGATGATACGTCTGTATACCACAGTGGTAACGATATTTTAAGTGCAACTAACATTATTAATTCCGACTTAGAAAACATAAAGAAATGGTCAAAATTTTGGCAATTACGTCTAAGCGCAAAAAAATGTGTAGGGATGTTATTTGGTCGAGTAACAATTGTCCCTTCTCTTTTCCTTGATAGCTCTCTTCTTAGTTTTGTCGATCATCACAAACATCTCGGTGTTTTTCTCACAAGTTCGTTGGACTGGTCAATTCACGTTCGTTATGTATTTAAAAAATGCACTTACATTCTTTACCTTATGCATAGACATAAACATATTTTGAGTACATCCACTCTCGATCAGATATTTAAATCACACATTCTGCCAGTAGCCACTTCTGCTGACATTGTTTACTCTCTTCTCAAACAAATTCATTCTAAAACAGCCTTCATTGATACAATTCCGTCCTATCTAAGACCTATTTATGACTTGCAATATTTAGCATCTCTGACTGTTAGTGGAGCGATGCATTTATCATGAAGAGTAAAAGTGTTTAAAATTCTAGGTTGGATTCCGTTAGAACACATCTATGCAATTAACAAAATAATTCTTTTCTTCAAAATAAAAAACGGTCTCACACCCACTTTTCTTTCTGCACGTATTCCTAAACAACGAATTGTTACCACATTTTTACGCTCAAGAGAGAGAGGTCAAGTAAAAGTATTTCGTACCCGCACAGAAAAATTCAAAAACACTTTTTTTTCCGTGGGTTGTGAGACAATGGAATATATTGCCTGTTGAACTGCAAAATATAATAAAATTAAAAAAATTTCGAATACAAAATTATGATTTCTTTTTCCCAAATTACAAGTGTCCACGTTTTAAACTCAGTGAGCGTAAATATCATTGCATTCTAAATCAAATGAGAGTCAACTTCGCCTAAATTATGATCTTTTCCAAAAACACTTCACTACTAGTCGCTGGTGCGCTAGTGGAAAAATAAAGTCAGTCAAACATTTTCTATTGGAATGTCCACGTTACCTGCATCAACGAACAGAATCACCGAGTTCCTCTGCAATAAACTTCACGGTCTTCTAGAGAAATTTTTGTGGAGAAACACCGATTCCTTTAGGAATAAACCTCAAGTTCTTGTGGAGAAACAGGATCTATTGCGGAATAAGCATTCGGCAGATTACTTCGGGAATAAACCTCCAATTGCTGCGGAAAAACACCGATTTCTTCAGGAATACACATGACATTGTATTGCATTAACGCCGGTTACTTCAGGAATTAACGTGAAGTTTTTGTGCAGAAACACCGATCTCTTCAGGAATAAACGTGAGGCTCCACTGCGTTAACGCCGGTTACTTCAGCAATACGCGTGAAGTTCTTGTGGACAAACAGCGACTACTTCCGGGATAAACCTCAAGTTCTTGTGGAGGAACACCGATCTCTTCAGAAATACACGTGACGTTCTACTGCACTAACGCCGGTTACTTCAGCAATACGCATGACGTTGTAGTGGACAAACACCGATCACTTCAGGAATCAACTTCAAGTTCTTGTGGAGAAATTTCCTGATTTCTTCGGAATGAGGATGGCGCCCTTGTGCAGAAACACCCGTCTCTTGAGGAATAAACATTACGTTCTACTCCATTAATGCTGGTTACTTCAGCAATACGCATCACGTTGTAGTGGACAAACACCGATTCCTTTAGGAATAAACTTCAAGTTCTTGTGGAGAAACACCGATTTCTTCGCGAAGAAACATGAAGCTGCTGTGTAGAAACACGGATTTTTTCAGAAGGGAGCTTGGGGGTCTTGTGGAGAAACACTAATCTCTTGAGGAATACACATGACGTTCTGGTGGACTAAGACCGATCAGCAGGAACTAAGCTGACGTTCTTGTGTAGAGAAATCCATTTGTCCAGGAATAACGCTCCACTTCCTTTATGGAAACACCGATTGATGGACTAACGATGATCATTTCTGGAATTAACCGCACGCTCTTGCGCAGAAACAGCGAAAGTAAACGTGACGTTCTTCTGCAGAAACTCCGATTTTTTCACTACTGAACCTTAAGTTCTTCTTGAAAAACACCGATTTCATCAGGAATACACATGACGTTGTGGTGTCATAACACCGATCACTTCCGGAATTAACCGCACGCTCTTGCGGACAAACACCGATTTCTACCAATACCGATCATTTCGGAAATTAATCTGACGTTCTTGTGGTGAAAGACTGGTCTCTTCAGGAATACACATGACGTGCTTGTGGACTAACACCCATTTCTTCAGGAATAGGCATGAAGTTGTTGTGGAGAAACACTGATCTGTTGTGAAAAAAACACGTCTTCTGTGGTAACGTCGAGTCTTCAGGCATTAACCTCAGGTTCTTGTGGTCGATTTCTTCAGGAAGAAACAGGAAGTTCTTCGGGGTAGAAAGACCGATTTATTCACGACAAAACATGAAGTTCTTCTAGAGTGACGCCGATTTCTTTAGGAAGTAACCTCAAGTTCCTGTGTGGAAACAGCGATTTCTTCAGGAATAAGAATGAAGTTCGTCTGGAGAAACACCGATTTATTTCGGAAATACACGAAGTTTTTCTGGAGGAAACCAAGTCTTCATGAATTAACCTGAAGTTCCTCTGCAAAAACACCGATTTCGTCAGGAGAAAACATCAGGTTCGTGTGTAGAAGGACCCATTTGTTCAGCGAAAAACATGAAGCTCTTCTAGAGTGACTCCTTCAGTACGTTTTTATTTGTTACTTATCGACGCCGTGTAACAACTTTAACTGTTCAACATATTTTATTGCCGAACTGCCACAACTAACAGCTGAAACCCACATTTCATTTTCTGGTAATCATCTTAACGTAAAGAGCAACTTATCGTGCCACAAACGCTACAAAATATCCTAAGGACTTCCATGTCTTTTTTGCAGATCAATCTGGAATTTGGAAACGTTCTCGAAGAAAGCATTTGAATTATGTTTTATTTTCTGTCAATGGTTATTCAACTGGAAAAAAAACATACAACAATCAAAACATTTTTCCATTTTGACACATGTGGTCTCAAGTACAGGCTCCAACAAATATAACGATGCTGTTATCACCGCTATCTGCAACAGCCAGCCTAGTTCTGCCATCACCATTGAAATCACCTGTTGTCAGTGAAATTGGGTACTTCCCAGTTGGATATGTGGCCTGACTTTGAAATGTTCCGTCGCCCTTACCGCCGAATATACTGACGGTGTCATCACCGGAATTTGCGACAGCCAAATCAGTCCGATTATCAGCATTGAAATCACCTGTTATCACAGAATATGGATAATTTCCAGTTACATATGTGACTCCACCATAAAATTTTCCGTTACCGTAACCGATCAATACACTCATGTTCTTAGAACCCGCATTTGCGACAGCCAAATCAGTTGTGTTATCACCGTTGAAATCACCTGTTGTCACAGAATATGGAGCACTCCCAGTTCCATATGGCACTTGACTCTGAAATGTTCCGTCGTCGTTACCGAGCAGTATACTAACGGTGTTATCAGCGGAATTTGCGACAGCCAAATCAGTCCGATTATCACCATTGAAATCACCTGTTGTCACAGAATATGGAGCACTCCCAGTTCCATATGGCACTTGACTCTGAAATGTTCCGTCGTCGTTACCGAGCAGTATACTGATAGTGTTATCCCCTTGATTTGCAACAGCCAAATCAGTTCTATGATCACCATTGAAATCACCTGTTGTCACAGAATATGGCGCACTCCCAGTTCCATACGTGACTTGGCCTTTAAATGTCCCGTTGCCGTTACCGAGCAATATACTCACAGTGTTATCCCCTTGATTTGCAACAGCCAAATCAGTTCTATGATCACCATTGAAATCACCTGTGGTCACAGAATATGGAGCACTCCCAGTTCCATACGTGACTTGGCCTTTAAATGTCCCGTTGCCGTTACCGAGGAATATACCCACGGTGTTATCCCCTTGATTTGCAACGGCCAAATCAGATCTGTTATCACCATTGAAATCAGCTCTTGTCAGAGAATATGGAGAATTCCCAGTGCCGTTTGTGGATTGCCTCTGAAATGTTCCGTCGCCACTACCGAGGAATATGCTGACGGTGTCAGAACCCTTATTTGCCACAGCCAAATCAGTTCGATTATCACCATTGAAATCTCCTGTTGTGACAGAATCTGGATCATTCCCAGTTCCATATGTTACTTGACCCTGAAATGTTCCGTTGCCGTTACCAAGCAATATGCTGACGGTGTTAGAGCCCTTATTTGCCGCAGCCAAATCAGTTCGATTATCACCATTGAAATCACCTGTTGTCAGTGAATATGGACCATTCACAGCATTTTTTATGGGTTGACTTTGAAATGTTCCATCGCCATTACCAATCAATATAATGACGGTGCCATCACCGTAATTTGCAACAGCCAAATCAGTTCGATCATCACCATTGAAATCCCCCGTTGTCACAGAAAGTGGGTAGGTCCCAGTTCCATATTTCACTTGACTTTGAAATGTTCCGTTGCCGATACCGAGCAATATACTAACGGTGTTATCGTCTTGATTTGCTACAGCCAAATCAGTTCGATTATCACCATTGAAATCCCCCGTTGTCACAGAAAGTGGGTACGTCCCAGTTGCATGTGTGACTTGGCTCTGAAATGTTCCGTCGCCGTTGCCAACCAGTATACTGACGGTGTTATCAGCAGAATTTGCGACAGCTAAATCTGTTCGATTATCACGATTGAAATCCCCCGTTGTCACAGAATATGGAGCATTCCCAGTTCCATATGGCACTTGACCATGAAATGTTCCGTTACCGTAACCGAGGAGTATACTGACGGTGTTATCAGCAGAATTTGCGACAGCCAAATCAGTTCGGTTATCACGATTGAAATCCCCCGTTGTCACAGCATATGGAGCACTCCCAGTTTTGTATGTGACTTGACTCTGAAATGTTCCATCCCCGTTGCCAACCAGTATACTGACGGTCTGAGAACCCTCATTTGCAACAGCCAAATCAATTCTATGATCACCATTGAAATCAGCTGTTGTCACTGAATTTGGAGAATTCCCGGTGTTTTTTGTGGGTTGAGTTACGAACTGTCCAGTACACCCTAAAGTGACAGAATTATTTGAATAAACCAGCCCGTTAGAATAGAAGATCACTAGTCCTTTATTGTGTCCGCCAGAATGGATCGGGAAAAATAATGTTCGATACCTATAGAGCAGTCTTCAAAAACAATTCGCAAAACTGGTTTTCTAATATGGGATGATGTTCTACTCTGGGAGAGTGCTTAGTCGATTGAAAATGAGTTTCGATGTATTAGTATTCGGTTCGACATGTGCAGTCAATTCAAAAACTAAAAACGATAGACATCACGTTTAAAGGGTATGAAGGTGTTCAGAAACGTTTTCTGAAAGCCTTGAAAAACTGCCCTTTCGAAAGATTTCACCTATGATAAAAACTCAATCCAAAAATACTTTCAACCATAGTAGAATATAGAGCAAACAGTTTTGATCAAAATGAGATATCGCCCAGCTTCGGATGATGTGTTGATCAAAAGTTGGGAGGGTTTTACTAGAAACCCTAAAATATGCAATAGATGTTAGCACCACTGTATCTCGAAAGCTACATTCACCTTGACAGCATTTCGTAGCTGAAAGGTTTCTCGGTAACGAAACGTCATTCAGAGGTGGGGTTCATCTTAAGCTGCAGCTGACAGTTGTGGCTGGTAACTAAGAGAGTCCCATTTTTAATACACACTCTAGATTTGTGGTTAGAGAAGCACCTTAGTGCAAGTTACTGAGGCTTGTTCGAATCTTTGACTTTCAACGCCTACTATGCTTTCAGAAAGCAAAATATCAATCCGGCTCTATTAGCCTCCAGCCACACGCGTTTTCGTTATTTTAACGGAGGCAAACAAAGAAGAACAGCAGCGATAAAAACGATAAAAAAAGATTTTAAAATAAATAACGTGAATCACATCGATTCACCAAGTCCATTGCCTGTAAGTCAAATGAATGTACTGTCAGAATTATTTTACATTCTCTTGTAACTCGATCTCGTTAGTACAGAATTGAGCGATATTTTTTACAGTGAGAAGGTACATATTTTCCACCTTAGTTTACAGAAGCAGTTGCGATAGCTTTTCACCGGTCAGAAAGTCAGAGTGACTATGTGTTTCGAAGCCAAGTATGGAACAGAGGTCAAGTCTATCAAATCAGCTTTGATGTGTCAGCTTCATAATGTAGTTTAGATCTATAAAAGTTTTCTCGAGGACGCCAAGGAATCCCAGAGGTCTAAAAATATTCTAAATTCCACACAATGCTCACGCGCCACGATAGGTGTCAATACACTTCTCTGATTCCACAGAAAACCCAAACGCATATACCCATGTGGCTCTATGTCCGCGACACTGGTTAGTGATTCTGTGTATGTACGTCCGTCACACAACCACATGACTATATGTCTGTACGTCCGTCATACTAATTAGTCGATTTAAACCAATCTATTTAAAAAGTATAGCAAATGGCAAAGAGTACAAAGAGCACAACCTACTCACTTCAGTACTATTACAGTATCAATTAGGCAGACACTATAAGTATGCTACGTGGAGAAAGAGAGGGAAGTGACAATAAGAAGAGCAATAATGGCAAACAACTGATAAACTAATAGAAAAAGTACATAAAACTCAAAATAAGTTAAAGAAGTGATGAAGATCCGTAACGGACACATCCAAAACGCTGCTGAGGTGATTAAATACGAAGAAAATAGTCAGGCATGCTTCATAAAGCGTTCAGTATTTATAATATAGGTTATCATCAATTTGTATATTTCTACTAAATCAACCTGTTGAATAGTATTATTTTTCAGTAGTAGTAAGAACAGAGTAACAAAGCACTAATTAGTCACTAAATGTATGTACGTCCGTCACATTGCCACATGACTATATGTATCTACGTCCGTCACACCTCTGTACGGACAAACATACACACACACAAACCCTTTATTTGCTGTGACCACCGACTTACAGTCAATGAAATTAACAATAAAATCAGCTTATGATGAACAAAAGGAAATTTGTTACAGACTGATGCTTTTTTTTGAAGTGGTATGCATCGGGCGGTAGTTGTACTTTTAACTGCAACAGTGATGGGTGAGTCATGACTCGGACCCGAGTCGCATTTTTTAATGACTTTGACTTGACTCGCATTCGAAAATTGAAGACGTTGACTCGACTGTTTGACTCGAGTCATTCATTCGAAAAAAATTCTATTCACTAACTGCTTTGCATACATTTACTCTTGTGTAAATTTGGGTATTTCTGAATACTCTTTCTTGTTTTATTTTTATTGTTACGTTTCAACGTCAGAGACGCCTTCGTCAGACAAAAGTAGACTAAATGTGAAGAACATATAATTAATTAGAGTATATATATATATGTAATAGTGCTGACGAAGACAAAGTGCTAAAGAGACAACGACTGATTATTGCTGTCTTGTTCTTCGTCAGCACTATTACGTATACATAGAAAAAAAAGGCAAAAATATCTTGACTTGACTCTACTTGACTCGGAACCACTGGTGACTCGAAGCCGCTACGAAATGACTCGGACTCGGAAAGTAGCTTGACTCGCCCGTCTCTGATAAAGTGACAGAGTAAGCATCTGTGTCGAAATTTTTTACTGGTATCCCAGAGGACTGGGTTTAATTCACTATTTACACCACTTCAACATTGACAATTATGCTTGACTGCCTAAGGATTTCACGAGTTATCCGTTAACAATCGAAGAGAAATACATGGAACTGGCAGTAAACAAGGTCAATGAACAGAGCTATGTTTCTTAACTTTCAACTTTCTAATCACATCAGTGGATATTCAACGATAGGTTTAACTCCGAAAGATCAGAGGAATTATTTCGATTGTAACGCACTTGAAACCTCAAATCGTTATTGTTCTTTAGTATCTTCTGGAAAAATGAGGAATAATGCACACTTAAAATAATGAAATTTTCTAATGGTAAACTTTCTACATCTAAATTATTGTTATTTGTTTATATCTTTTCCTAGGGAAGAGAAACAGAGATGGGCGAGTACGAGTATATATTCGAGTACAAAATTTTCAGTACTCTTACTCGGGACTTTTTTTACTTAAAAATGTACTTGAGTATTTTCGAGCACTTGAAATTTTTTAACATACAATAACCTATAATTAAAATAACCTTTTTCATGAGTATTTTCTTCTTTTAAAAATTTTCGTACTGGAATATTTTCTAAAAAGTACTCGAGTGGTACTCGAGTACATTTTAGAAAATACTCTTACTCGTACTCGAGAATCGGCATACTCGCCCATCTCTGAAGAGGAAGAATCTTCATCAGAAGGATATAAAGATGCAAGCACATCATACGATCACACGGGCGCTGAATGTGTCCAAGAGGCTAATGAAGACCAGTCTGAAGATAGTGAACCTAATACTGATGACGACAACGAAGATATACAGAACTGCGACAAACAAACACATTTGTTATTGAAAAAATATCGAAAATCCATTAAAAAATCTCTAACTCTTCCATATTATTAAGTGAACTAAGAAAATTAGCCAATGAACAAAAATTGAATGTGGAATTGGTTCTAGATATGCGAATTCGTTGGAACTCCACCTTTAAAATACGTCAACGGTCATTACTAAAGAAACGAGTCTTAATGAATTTTCATACGTTACCATGTTCTACTCCTATGGGTGACTTCGAATTAACTAATGAAAAAAAAAAATTTTTAAATTTTGGATCCGATTAATGATGTCACAGAGCTATTGTCAGGAAGAAATTACTCTACACTGACTGTAGCATTTGCGGTTTGGAATTCATTAAAATTATTTTAAGCACAAATTCTCAAAATTCATTTGAACAATTAATCAAAAACAGCATTATTAGAAAGATACGAATATTATTTTCGTGATAAAATGGATGAGCAGCAGCTAATGCAATGACAATAAGTATGACTTCGACGTTAGACACCTACAAGGGTCTCCATACGTCGTTCAGATGTATATCATCTTAAAATGCTGAATTAGATCGGCAAAAGGCGAAGTTTCGTGAGCTACACAGCTAGTTTTTTCAGTCTTACGTTGAGGTAAAATGTATCAGACGAATGAGTTTAGTGAATTCTAATACTTTACAAAAAAAATTCTCTTCGGTAACAAATTCTCGTCTGCTCGAAACTTGCAGGAAAAACTGCACTCTCTAAAGAGACGAAACCTCAATTTTGAACAACCGCGTTAATAAATGATCGCGTAATAACACTACATTTATATGGTTTACCGTAGATAGCAGCATATCTGAACCCAGAAACGAATATTGGTGTGACAGCCCACGAAATATCTGTAGCCGAAGAACTGATAATTAACGAAGTAACGTCAATGGCATCGTCAACTCTTTTTTCATCCTCTAATGAACACAAAGCAACAATTAGTCACAGCTCCAAATTCGGATCATATTTGAAAAAATGTGGCATGTTATTAACACCAACAAGAAAAGCAGCACTACGTTTACTTTTAACAAGTACGACTATTAAACAAGAAATTTCTCTGCACATAATAATATCTAAAATGAGTTATGATTTATCGTTATTTGGGTTAGAATATAGTCGCGAGCTACCATTATTATCAACATTGGTTAAGAAGTATGTAGCAATACCAGTTACAAGTGTAGCTAGCGAAAGTACATTTTCACAAGCTAATAATTTTACAACGGAAAATCGACTATCACTAACTTCAGCAACAACGAGAATGTCTATGTTTTTGAAAGACAAAGTATGAATGTTGATAGTTTGTATTATTTCGATTGTGAGTATTTCTGTCATGCTAAAGAAGATTGAACGCTAGTAGATTACAAAAAGAAGCTAACATATTTCATAACGTTTCCAGTTCAAAAAAGAACTGTAGTTCCAGTTCGCGGGAACCAGAACTGATGAATCGTTCCTCGTGTCTAGAAAAGTGAACTGCTGAGCCGTTCCTAGTCTAAAAGTACCGAGACAATGAACATTAGATAGCTTGTCCAAGACTATCACGCGACCGCCGTTGCCGGGATTCGAACTCCGTATGTTTGAGATACGTTGTCTGCCCGCTAGCCGACTGAGTCACGCTGTTTTTATCTCTAAATGTTTTTGAACGTTGTATGTTATTCACGTTTTATTGCAACTGAATGGTACTAAAATGCTAGAGGAATTTTTTTCAAGAAAAGTGATTGTTTTAAGTGGCCAACGTTCATGTTTTTCTTGAGTAGCCTGTCGATTGCAAGAAAGTTAGATTAGGCCGGGAGTTCGATCTTAGGTAAAAGCAAAATCTGTTCTCTATCTGTGTTAGATATCTGAAGAGAATATTTCGCTGCCAAAATGGAAAACTTCTTATGCATGACAAAAACAATTAATTCTCCTAAAACTAGTGCGAGTGAAATTGAAAACCTGTGAAGTGTGTTTTTGACAAAAGAATTCCCAAGTCAATTTTCGCGCCTCAGCCGCGGCGCGATCGCTGGAAAATCGTGTATTCCAATCGCAATCGTGCTGGACTCTTAAACCCGCGCCGTAATCTTGGCTTAAGCGTAATCTTATTTTAAAATTTTTTTTTAAGATTCGCTATATGATTAATGTTCGCGGTGCGATCGTTATATTGTCGCTATGTGGTGGTGCGATCACTATAGATTCGCTATCTTGCGTCGGGACTTCAAAAGTTGAATAATTTTCAAAAAACCAAGTCAATATTTTTTAGTGCGATCGCTATCTTATCACTGTATCGCGGCACGATTCGCGATATGGCGAGTCGCGCTGAGATAATCAAAGATATATCAACAGTAGATTTGCGCCGCGACAAATAGCGAGTCGTGCGGACTTCCGTCGCGTAAGAAAGAGCCGTGACGCGACAATGCCAGTGTACGTAGTACTATGCAGGATCGCATCGCGAGAATAGCAAATATATAACTAGCACCAGAACATAAAAATATTCATCTGCAGGGACCATAAATGACGAATTTCAAATGAATCTTTGTGCTCGCTAGGATTTAACCAATTTTCCAGCTATCAGTAATACCACCTACAGATCTATGCTTTGTACCTACCTAGAAGACGTTAAAAAACAATCTGGCAGCAAGCAGAGTAGCTTT